ATGAGACGTTTAAGCCGTTGGTTCCGTGTGTATTTATGGCCCATGTGCAAGTTAAAGAACGCAGTACACTTTTCGGAAAAGAGGAGGGAATTGTCACCCGGTGTACTGCCCAATCACCATCAGAAGGACCCCACTGAAAATAAGTCTTCTTCTAGACTTTCGGCTATCCTTGGTGTACACCGAATAAATCTAATCCAACCCAACCTCGATAAAATATAGTTAGTATAGAAAAACATGTTTGAACGTGGTTATCGAATAGTAATTCATTTACCATTGGTGTAACTTTATTGGTGATATATAATCTCGTTTTCTTTTCTGTGTGTCATTTTGAATGTCGGTGTAGTGCACATATTTAAAGTTGGATTCCTATATTGTTTCATTTTCCTTCTACATTAGTAACCCGGATGATATTGAGCAGTTGCTCATTTCGGTAGTTCCATATAATCTTATCGGAAGAAAGGTTGTAAATTGTTATTGACAATTGACTACTGAAGAGTTTATGATCTGAATGCAATATCCGTATCATAAGTCATATGAAGTTCAGATCGTAAATGCAACATCACGCGATTTATAAGAGTCTGACTACATGTATGCGAATCCGAACATAATTCCAACTCCTGAGACACTGTCTTTGATTTGAGACAATAGGATTTAGTCAATGAATCAATCAATCAAAATATTAATTAATTAATCAATCAGTTACTTAAACACTAAATGAATCAATCATAATCAATCTAAAAAATCAATCAATCACCCAACCAGTCAGTCAGTCAGTCAGTCATTCATTCATTCATTCATTCATTCATTCATTCATTCAGTCAGTCAGTCAGTCAGTCAGTCAGTCAGTCATTAATTCAGTCTGTCAGTCAGGCATTAATTCAGTCTGTCAGTCAGTCATTCACTCACTCAGGCAGTCATTCAGTCGGTCGGTCGGTCGGTCGGTCGGTCAGTCAGTCAGTCAGTCAGTCAGTCAGTCAATATGTCAATCAAATAATGTCTCTTTATTTCATATTCCAAACAAATCACATATCGCTGGCTACTCTGTACAGACATGTAGCATTATCATATTATGTTAAAACAATATTGTCGTCTTTGTGTTTAAGACCAACATCAATAATTCATCAGCATAATAGAGGTTTCGCAGGCTTACGAAAACGATAACGAATAATGTTACGTCATCAAATTTTTAGCCAAACCCTCCCCTAACATAGCACAGGCCCGTAGCGTGATTTGTGGGAGGTTCGTTTCAGTGGAAAGTGGACCCTTTGGAAACCAATATACAGTAAACATAATATTGTTAGCTGGGAAAGCTTAAGAAATGCCGACTTGAAATACTTCTGGCTTGTATGATCTCCAAGTCCGACACTCTGGAGAATACCGTTTTTTCGTTTTTAAATGCGGACCTTCTCCAGTTTTTGGGCGGTTCGTCGTAAACCCCCTTAACACCCCACACACACACGCGCTACGGGCCTGCATAGCATATCGTTCACAATGTAGGGTTGATAGGCTATAGAATACAATTTGGAGGTGGGTCAATAATAGCCTATGTCTTTCTATATTAGAAGTTTTACTAAAAAAAATTAAGTTAAGTTTATATTCGAGATATTACTAAACAACATTCTCAGTTAAATGATTCCCAGAGTGTTTATGATCTAACATGATTAGTAATTAGTGACAAAAAACAGATATCAGTAGCATCGCAACCTTACGAAAACGATAACGAATACGAATACGTCATTATCATTATCATCATTCGTGCCTCAAACATTCTTGACAATATGCTGTATAAGCTGGATATGATCCTTAATTCATGCAAAAGACATGAATCACCTACGTTGTGACAAATATGCTAATTGTAAGGAAAGGGTTGTATTACAAATTTGATGACGTAGGCCTAACCGTACGGTACGGTATTCGTTATCGTTTTCGTAAACTTGCAAAAAAATCCCGTTTATCTGACATTCCCCACAGTGTTTTTATAAGTAGTTCATGTTGTAAATATAGTAAATTATTTTTATCTCGTTACACTGCCAAAAGACTTACGGAAATCCAAGAATGATATAGACATAGGCCTATTTGGCTTCAGCCTTCCCAATATTTTTACAGCCTTGCGGTAGGTCTATTCCTAAAGCTTTCGTGGATTTCCGTATTTTTTCAATGTAGCTTAAAATGCAACAACAGATAATAATTTGAAACTCTCGTCCTACACGTAGAGTTATTTCTCTACTGCTGTGTATGTCTATTTTCCCAACTTTAGGAACAATGCCCTCTTCATCGGGAATCGACTTTCAAAAAACTAACGTAGTTGCAACTGGTAGGTAAACCATCACTGTGGAGAAGTAAGCGAACATTTACATGATCTCATTAGATCGTCATCAAGAATGAATGATGCAACGCTGTGAAGAATCTGTGAGATTTTCACGCCATTATGTACCGATAATTTCAGAAAACTGTTTTCACAAAATCGCTGCAATTTCACTGCAATTGTTTTACTAGCTGTCCCCCGACGCAATCGGAAATTATACCCAATTCGACCGACAAATTGAGCGTCGTCGACAGATATCGGCGATATCTTGTAACGTTTATATGAAAATCAAGCTTTATATAGTTTTTTTTTTTTTTTTAGTTTTTTTTTTTTTTTTTTTTTTTTTGATTTTTTTTTTTTTTTTTTTTTGTAATTGAGATGTAGCTGGTGGTTAAGATGCTTGCCTTAGAATCTCATGGTCGTGGGTTCAAATTCTGTAACAGCACATGATTTTTTCTCGACTATAAAAAACAACTGCACTCTGTAAGCTTCGTAATGGGACTTCAGATACAGCGTCACATTAGTTCATTTAATTAAGAGAGCCCCTGAATATCAGCCGACTAGCTAAGATACGCTGAAAGCTTTATCCTCCATAAATATGGTTAAGAAATATGATCTTGGTTTTAATGTTGTTGTTGGTTTACATGGTTACTCTCAAAATATGATATTTGGACAACTGTTCTTTAGGCTAATCGTTGAAATAGGCCTATGACATCGAAATACAGATTTTATTTATTTTTTAATTTTTGTTTTCAACCTTCAAAGTACTTTATACCATATCTTATAAGGACTGCTCTGGGCAGAGGGTCGCCCGGCCGCTCTCGGGCAGCGCTGGGTACGTTTGTTGTTCTAGCTAACATTGGCAAATCCTGTCTGGCGGAGTTACGCCAAACCTTTAAGAAGGTACCGTATGAACGACATCTCAATTTAAGTTTATGAGGTTGGGAACAGTCTGTGACTAATGCTGGATTAATAATGTCGAATGTTCATGAAAACCGTGACTGTTATCGATTCAAACAGCGATCGTCACGGAGAGCTTTTTGATAAATTCACATACACAATATTCGAATCGAGTGGCGGATCTAGAAATTCGAAATAGATTGGGACCAGCGAGGGAATTTTACAAAGAGAGGATCTAGACCACGATGGCCGCACTGTAGTTGGGGCTGAGATAACAAGAAGAGGCTTAGGTGAGAAAATTTATGATTATTGCACCTCTATAGGCCTATGGCATTCTACTCAGACTTAAAATTTGAATTTAAATTTCTTTTTTATCCGATTTTTCTAACAAATTTTTGAAAAAACTAGTTGGGCGGTTGGGCCCCCTCTAAGTCGTCGAGCCTTCCCTACTCATCAAGCCCCGCCACCAGTTCCCACAAACCCACATTTCAAGATGCCTTTCATAGTAGCTTTACGACGATTCTCTGTGTTAAAGCTTATATAATTTTTGATTTTCCTCTGCTAATGGTCCCTCGTGTTTAGCTTCGGATTTCACATTCTCATCTGCGTGGTTTAAAAACACCATGCCTGACTGTTGTAGAGTAGGTAGACCATTTTGAAGAGTTATGCTCGTTCGATCCTCTGAAATCATTTGCCCCTACTGTATGCTTGGGCATTGTTTTTTTTATTCTTTGCATACTGTTTTCATGTTTATTGTCCGGTGGTAGGCCTAATCAGTGGTGGATACAGGAATTCGAAATAGAGGGGACCCGAGGAGGGTATTTCACAGACGGAATGTCTACATCACCTCAGTCCCAAAATTGTTGGGGCTGAGGTGAGAAAAGTTATGATATGGCACATCTGGATGGTGAGAAATGGCACTCTCTTAGTAAATATAAATATAATTTTCTTTTTTCTTCATTATTTTTAATGATTTTGAAAACTTTTGGTGGTGGTGGGGGGGGGGGGGGGGGGGGGGGGGGGGGATTCCTTTTGAATCCGCCACTGGTATGTTATTTATCATCAAGCAGATTTAAATGTTAAAGAATAAGAATAAAAATATTCCCCAATGGCGATTTGATCCCGCAAAACTCTGCTGTCTATGGATATAGACCTAAATTTTACATTTATATATACAATTATAGTTAGGCTAATATTAACATAACCCTCTATAAAGGCTGCAGTTTTAACCGCAAACTTTACTTGCAACAAGGACCGGTTGAGTCTGGTCAATGCCAAGGTCTTGTTAGTTTATGCTATACAATGGAGACTGGAAAATGGTCTGGTGAGCATTGAGGCTACCAACCTTAACCAATTTTTCTAGCGTCTGACACAGAATGCAATTTAGTTGTCTGTTTGATCTCTCTGGGGTTTCAACCATCCAGGTACGTGTGGGCGTGGTCACTGTAAACTAAGCGATGATGGCGCTATGCGTAAAACATTCGTACTGTAGTTGGAGACGATGGTCAACTGGACACTCGATACCTTTACGACTTTAGGTTCTTTTTGACTGGCAGAAATCTAAAGCCGGGCACTCACCCCTTCACCCGACGTGATTCTACGGAGAACGCAACGCACGACGCAACGGATCGTTGTTTTGCCACCGACAATAAGCAGACGGCGGTCTCGTCTTAAGGCGCTCACAGGTAAGGAAAGTTCTTGAATCCTTGAGACTAGAATGCAAAGCATCTTGACCTACCAATTCAACACTTTCCTTTCTGATTAATCACACTCAATGAATACAGTCACACAAATATATTTTACTATCCCCTTTTATTGCATCAACTTGTAAACCTTGCAGGTCCGTTCAACAAAACTAGACCTACTATCTAGAATAACTTTAAAACAAGTTAATCGATGTATTGAACACACTGTCTGGAAGAACCAAACTAAATAAACAGTACAAAATATCAAAGAAAACACTTGAGAAACAAAATAAAAATACTTAAGAAAGCACACATATTCGGCAAACAAGTTATTCAAACAAAAATTACTAAACGCAATGTACTGTTGTTCATCAGTCTATCCAAAAACAGGGAATATTTAAACGATATAATTCTTTGGAGTTGTCTATTTTAAACTTAACATAACTTTCACAAAACCACAGTGTTGGAGTAAAGAATGATATTTTATATTACGCTCAAAATATACTTAGCCAAAAAAGTTATTTTAGTAGGCTACGAACAATTTTTTGTTTATGACAAATTAGAAATCGATTACTAAGTCGCCAGAAAAAGAAATATAAAGTTCCTTTAACAAAAACGTATTTTAATTGAACATACGATAGTGGTAAACAATCACTTCTGTTGTGTATTAGAACCATTTATCTATAAATACAAAATATACGAAAATGTTACATACGCACTCGTTTTCATTGAATGTAACATTACTGCACCATAGACGTATTTAATCGTAGCACCTAGTATTTTTTTTTTAACTCGCACAGTACTTAATAACAAACAAAAAAAAACAACTCAACACTTTTTATAAATAACAATCACCAACAGTTGCATACACTCTACACTTTCTGATCATTGTACCCCAGTATTTTTTTCCCAAGCAGATCCCTTATCTGCGTTTGATAATTATGTGTGAAGACAATATTTCAAAATACGTTTAAGTTTGTACATATGAAGTACAAATAGAAGTTACGGTTTGTAAAGCTTTGGAGAAACAACACAGACCTACATAACTCATGCATACTTTTATCTCACTCGCATTAATTAAAAAAAGATAAATAAAAAACATACTGTTAACGATGACTTAACCGTTTGAACTGATAAATCTGATCATCTCATAAATAATGATACCAATATTAATTCTAAGAGTAAAATATCTTCTTGGTTATACACTGAGTCAAGCGGCGGCGCCAGTGAGTGTCCGGAGGAAGGGGGCTACATGACCACCGGTTGGAGAAACATGGAGACCTGTCGGAGAACACTGCTTTGTTGAAGCACTTTTAAGTCTGCGTACCATTTCCCGGCATCAGAGGTGCCTATTCTTAAAATGTTCTCACACCCAGCGCCTATACCTATGGTGGTAGTTATCCCTATTTTTGGGAATCTTAGACAACTTGTTGGGGAATCCGTTACTAGTGCCGCCACTACAGTGATTCATATTACATCCTATGCCAATTGTGCAATATTACATTGTGAAATATGTGTTTATAAATGGGTGTGAGAAAGTATGTCCATAAGCAATACGGGAAGTCTCTTTCCTGACGGAAATTCATTATTCCTGTGTTTATATAACTACCGTACTCCATTTTAAAGAGACTCATAATAATATTTTTTCAACATGCTGTGCTTTTTTTTTTGGTATACACTCTTGTTTTTTTATATAATAATGTTGAATATAGCTACTATTTATTCTGTCTCGAAACTACTGTTTTTAAACCTTTTGGAAGATATAACAACTAACATACATCATGCACACTTTCTCTCATTTGCACACATGCATATCTTTAAACATCATGCACTTTACTAAATAAATAAACACAATTTCGCATTCTAATTTCTTACAATACTTTAAGTTGTAGGTTGGACATAAGTAATATTTCATGAGTGTAGTAGGATTAAACCAACACAATCTAAAAAGTTTCATAAACATTAGTATACATGGTATACATTAAACGAAGATTATCAAGATATTGGATTTGTTTTGTACGTGGTCCATGTTGAAAAAACTGAATCAATGGCCGACCGTTGCAGAGGATGTTTAGACGGTGGTGATGATATTCTCGATGACGTAAACTTCAGTGCATGTTTGCGGCTGGTAGACGGCTGGCAAACTGATGATGCTTCCTAAGTAGTTGACGTTATGTTGCTTTTCACTTAGCCGGAGTTTGGAAATTCTGGTTCGGTGACGCACAATCATGAGTAAAATTGTGACCACAACGTGAAGACCGCCACACAAATAGAATGTAGCGCTGTAGGTACCAGTCGCATCTACTAACATTCCTAAAAGGAAAAAAAAACATGTACAACAATAACATAGCGCAGAAATAAACGATTTAAGCTTCCACTGAAATTCATTCAATGCCAATTGAAATGTAAACATATTGAGCACTTCGTCCTTCAATTGACTGTTAAGCAGCGTGCAGCCTCATTTACATCTAGACAGGCTGGCCGACAATAGACCTTCTAAAAGTTTCAAATACGATGACCTCCGTATGCCGAAGGTCAAGGCAAAAAAAAAAACTCAAATTACAGTTAAACTTTCAGTAAATAGGGAGCTTAAAGTCACTAAAAGTAATCTGCGCATGCGAGAAGGTTAAGGTCACCTCGTCAAGTAGATTCTGGAAAGCAATTTGGCCAAACCTACGTATGTAGAAAACGTAGGACGCTCGATAGGACTGTCACACATCAGTGATTCCGTTCTAGCGTCGCACAACTCCTTATTTTTACAAGCAGTGACTATATGGACATTTACTAGAACTGACCTCCAACAACGGATCCAAGAAGATTTCCAATGCCAAAGCTAACACTCATGAACGTGCCTCCGACAGTAACCTGCGACATCGGGAAAAACTCTACGCATAGAGGGTACCATAGCGTGTTGATCACGGATCTCGCCAGGCTCAGAACTATATTGAAATAAAAACTAAAGTTAAACTCCACTCTCGTCAAACTACTAAAATAGCTGAAGTTAGAATACAATATGGTTAGCTCTGCTGTACCTCTCAACATTGGCCAGGTGTTGTTTTTTAGTTTTTTTTTTCTCATATTTTTATGCATCTTATTACATATAAAACGTTCCGAAAAGTTCAGGTAAAACAGGATAAAAACTTATTATCACATTGGAGATGAACAAATAGTATAAAGTGGTGTTTTTTACAGCTCTGTCTTATTGTACAACCATTCTTTACAGGTGAATTTGAATCTGAATAATTTAGGCAAAACAGAGAGCACTGAATTGAACATATTTTGATCCCTGGGTAGATGCGCAGTGGTAAAACTTTAGACTTTCTACTGAATGATCTTAGACTTTAGTGCTGGTAAATTTGTGTCCATTAGCAAGTCTCTTATCTTTATAGTCCTAATTCTTCTGCCTGCTGCGATTGTGAATGTCGTGCGCAGGTTTATACAGCACAACTGAAGATAAAAATTGTTGCTCCTAAAATAGTGGAGATGGCTACACATTGTGGAGCATATTATTATGTAGTCACTGATTAGTTAAAACAAGTGCCTCAAAATGTATAAAACTGGATCGAATTAGGACTGTACACGATATTGGATTTACGATTAAAGAAGTTTTACTACGAACAAAATATTGTCTCTCAAAAGGGCGAATTTGTGGGCAGCATTGATACTTTAAAGATAGACTTCCATCTATATTCTTAATTGCTCATTAATGATCGATCAAAGTGAAAAGTCCTGAACGTGGCCGACTATTATTTACATGTAACGAGCTAAAACATTGTGATTCTACTGATGAAACATTAAACAAGGAACTTGGAAAATTGGTAGAAACCAACGGATAATAGAATGGCAGTGCATTAAACGAATCAAGAGTCATCGATGTTCAGGGAGTGCTTTTTGTGTAACAGTTGCTCTCCCGTGAGCAATTATACATGCGAATGTTAACAATACTGAAAAAGAAGATACAGTTACCCGCGGACCCTAATATCACCATTTATTATCGACAAAGAATGTCAACAAAAAGAACGTTATTTTTGAGTTAAATAAAAAATAATTTGGTGCAATTTTTTTGCGAGGCTTGGAAAATAATCCATACCGATAAATGGTGATATCAGGAGATACCTAATATTAAAATCACGAGGTAGTAAGTGTTATTCACTAAGCACATTTTCTGAACATCGGGATAAAATAAATTTACGCGGATATTTAAAAATTTAAAATTGAACAGATTTTGTAAATTGTATCATTTCCTTCCTTACCATATCATTCATTAAACATCATGATCATCATTCTAATTTTGATTTCAATCGTTATCATTATATGTTTATATTTATTTATTTTTTTTTATAACTACCAGTTTTCCAAATTCTTCTTGAGCATGTTACGGTTTATGGTTGATTGTCGAACCGTCTGCAGTAACTTTTAATCCATTGTTTATTTGAAAGAAACATAATAATACTAAATGATAATTCTGTTTTTAATTAAGTAAATTTGATAATTGCATTCCGATAATTTAAAAAAAAATCCACAAAGGTACAACAATGGTATACTGATTCCATTAAAATTTCAAGATAAAACATAGCTTACAACTTGACCTTTTGGATTTTTTTCCCTAAAAATGGATTTCTAAAGCCGAGAAGTTTTGACAACCATCCACAAGTACAATACAAATTGGGAATAGGCATACACCTAGTAGGTGTTATTATTATTATTATTATTGGTAGTGGTGGTGGTGTCTGAGAAAAATATTGCCACCCGTCGCATGTTGGTGGTTACCTATAATACACATTAGCACTCCGGCGAAGTTGTTGGCCATGAATGGTAGGACCACAGGCGGCACGGCACCCAGAAGGCTAGCAAGCCCGTAGGTACTCGATACCGACAGTGGTAGATGATCTCCAAGTAATGTGCAGAGTAGTCGACCGCCGAGCTCAGTTCCTCCCATCACGGTTAGGAAGAGAGCGCCATCATCGTCATCAAAGCCAACGCTACGTATGAATCCGATCTATACAGATGTGGGTAAATTAACTATGAGGTTAGGCATTATATGACCATGACGGGTAACTGGAGGTGGTTCATTTAAATTCCTTTAATATTAATTAGCCAATAGCATTATAAATTAAGTTAAATTTCCGAATCAAAATCCAATTTATATTAGTTTCCCCTTCAAGTGGTTGGAAATTGGTTGTGGCTTGAAAAAATTATTTTACCAATAATCAAAACTAAAACAACAAATGTATCGAATTTGTTTTGATCACCAGTTTCGGATGAAATACATGTCGGTGATTAGGAGATTAATTCTCTTAACCACTGACCTGTGTAACCTGCAAACAATCTTTCTGACAATTAAAATAGATCCACGTATAGATTAGGCTGGGCTATCATTATTATATTAAATTTGAAATTCCACAACCAATGTTAAACAATCCACTTGAAGCTCACGTCCAATAAACAGTCATGGTCCCTGTATAATCGTAATAATTCCATTCTCAATTTGGAGATACTTTGATCTGTATATGCAGGAAAAAGTTTCTCCAATAAAAAAAACAGGCTTACAGTATAATGTGAACTCTTGACACCAAAGCGGAAGTGAAGAAATACGTGACCTCAGAATGCACCAGTAATTCATTTAAATGTTAACGATCATCATCAATTTTTCGCATTAAACTCGGGATATTCACTAATTTTCAACTAGACATGTAATAATTTGAATTGACCTTCGAAATTAGGCCTACAATTGAGTCACTGAAAAAAATTATGAATTTATAACGCCATGGATGAAATTCTGACTTTAAAAAAAAAATTGTATTAGCCTACTTTCATCACTGGGTTTTGGACAACAGTGACTTTTAATTGTATTGATAAGTTGTAGTAATCCGTTTGCTCGTATGTCACTACTAACATAAGAGTAATATAGAGGAATATCATAAAGATATCCCGCGAATATCTGATGCTTATATCTGAGAGTCACGTAACTTGCACAAAGATCACGCCTTGTTGTCTGAACCGACGAAGGAAGTTCTGGGATTGTTCAATATAGAGAGGAACACATCTGTCAAACGCAGTCCACGTCTCACTGAGCTTTCCCCATTGAGTTACTCAAACATCAAAACCAATCTTTATCAAAACCTCATCGGGAACATTATGCGTTGATAACAAAAGATTTGAAGTGTAGGTCTAAGTAAAGACCTTGTTAGATCACGGTTAGATAATCCATTTAAACGCTAGAGACGTTCACAGTAACTAAGAACCTTGAAGTAAGTGCAACACACTTACGTCTCCTTGTAAACACACAAAGAATATGTGAATATACATTTTAAAATTCTTCCCGAAGGCTGTCTTAAATTAAATCCAGTTTTAAATAAAGAATAGTTTTGACATTAGAGACTTATACCAGGACTGGGTATAACAGGTAGATATAATACAAATATATTTCCACAAAGGACATCATCATCTTTATTCTTAATAAACGTCAGACCAAATCCAATCATTTCATTAATCTTTTAATTTTGATTTGTGATTATATGAGAAAAAAAATTAATTTTCTTTTTCTTTTTTTCCTTTTTTTTTTACAATGAAGTTCCTTCGTTGGTTCGAAATAACTATCTTAATCTAGATATTGACATTTAACTACTGATGAAATACGTACCAGGTCGATATAGAAGAACACTATAGCTATACCTAAAAATAGGAAAGCTATAGATACCAGCCACGAGTTGAGGTTTTTCATCATGCTCACTGATTTTTGAGCAAAACTCTCCCTCCTTATTGGTACGCTGATCTCCTTCACTGGGTTTATTTTCTTCTCGATGACTTCTGTATCGTCTTCAGTTTCGAAAGTCTGCGATGGGGAGCTAAGAAATATACAGCAGACTAGCCCGTTGACAAAGATAATACCGCCCATCACGCGGAATGCTCCACGCCATCCCAAAATTTCAATTAACGTTTCGATTATAGTTGGAAAAACCGCCATACCTGAAAAGTAATTTACAGAAAACGATACATTAAGTCTTACAATTCAATTCGGGAACCAGTGCCGTTCTGCACACACAATTGAGGGCGACATATTGTTTTACTGTCAAACCTTACGATAAGTTTCTGAGGAATTTGAAATTAAAGCTTATCTCATGATAATAATGTAACTGATATCACACAGGGACAAAGAAAATGGGTAAATATTGCTATCTAATAATATCATAAAACTTGCATCAGTTCAAATACAGTACAACAGATATCTAATAACCTCTTTATCATTTGTCCAAATTCTGTCAAATTATCTGGCCAAATATTAAAATTTCACAACAATAGAACAATTATCAACTTCCGTAACTGACATGATTAAACAAACAAACAAACATAGATAATGATGAGTCGAATAATAATCAACTGAAGTAGCGTTAACCTCAGCACCGTTAGGCTGTTTTTGTCTACAAGGTAGCTCACAAAGGTAAATCGATATAAGAGATCATATCATAACGACATAGGTCAATGAACGGTTGGAGGCCCTATCTCAAGCGTCGTTCTCGAACCCACGACCTATAAAGAAAAACTGCCAGTCTTCCACTGCCTCACACAGTCACATTTATATCTAAGCCAATGATGGTTGTTTAAGGTTGTTTATGGGTGTACCACCCCCTCCACCACCACAACCGGAATGAAGCCAAAAAAAACAAAAAAAAAAAAACACGGAGACGACCAAAAATGAATGTGAAAGGAGACAGGTATTATCATGTTTCGTTTTCTGGCCTCATTAAATACAAAACTTACCTAAAGCAGAACCCATGCTAACTGTTCCAGTTGCCATTGCACATTTCCCGTTTCGATAGATATTAAGGCAGAAGTTGTATGAGGTGAATTGTACCATATTAGCGCCAACGCCTAATAAGATACTATAGGAAATAAATAGAAAGGCAGATTTGGTAACAAACGATGTTGCTATGCAACCAACTGCGCAGAACACAAGACCGGCGATTATGACTGGACGAAAGCCGAAGCGATCGAAGAGTGAGGCTGATAACGGCGATGACAGCACGATGAGACTAATCGCAGCCGAGCCGATCCATCCTTTAAGACAAAAACAAAGTGAAAATCGAGATTTATATAAAACGTGAAGAACTTGTGCTTTGCAGCTTTAGCAAAAATTATGCTTATCAGCAATATAATAATCATTATCATAATTACTCTAATAAGTAATATAATAATCATTATTATAATTACTTTAATAATCATTACTCCAATTCCTATGGCGAGTTGATTGGCCGAGCAGTTAAGTCAGGGGCACCGCAACCTTCAGCTCTAATATCGGCGCTGGTTCAAACGGCTCACTCGCCAATGGTTTCGGTGGTGGAACAAGTCTTCTCGGATAAGGACTTTTAAACCATAACCTAATGTACGCATTTGGCTCGTGTGCACTTTAAAGAACCCAGTCCATCCTTTGAGAAGAGTAGGGGGTTACCCCGGTGTACTGGTCCATTAAGTCCCATGTAGTGCTAAATTGATATACCACGTAGGGCAGTGATTGAGTTCACTTATTGGCATATCCGTGGGGCTCGTGCCGAAAGAAATGAAATGAAATGAATAATTGGTACACATAACGTATAAAATGGTATAGTTACTTATTAATATGCAAGTATGTATTGAATACAAGAGTCATTTTCGGTGTACGTGGGACTACTCCCTATACAAACAATATTATCGATTTAAAAAAAAAAAGAAAGTCGAACACATTAAACATTGCAGTCATCCTTCTGGTAAAAACCACAAGAGTTCATATTAAACAAAGGCTTGCGTGACCAGTCAAAAGTTAATGTTTGTTAAGGTAACTTGCAGAAGGCTGGCAATTTGATCATACCTCCATGGTTTGATCATATCGTTCGAATGCGTCACTGTTACTATAGCTACATGATATAAATGGTTTCGCCTGTAATGTATTACCGTGTCAACGAAGCTCTTCTCCAAACATAATTAATAAGTGTACATGTTTTATCATAAGTAGAGAGAAAACGCGTGATCTTTATAATAGATCATGAGATACTGCAGACACTGTGGCAATGTTATCACTTGAATTTCATTTGTACCCTGTTGTTCAAATGACAATAAAGAATATCGTATCGTATCGTATCGTATCTTATCATTCGACTGAAATAAAACCTCTGGTCAGGAGTACCTCACAATAATAAATAATTTAAAAATATTTTGAATATTTTCCTCTCGCGTATGAGAACAGGTAAACTAATTGTATTTATCTTTTTGTTTATGGTTTTTGTTCCTTTTTCTTTGTCTCCTCTCCAACTTATTTGTTTCTTTTATTCAACTTCTTTTGGATACTGCTGAATACATCCGTATTCCATTCCCTTTCTACACAAATTACAGCTAAAATTCACCGAGCTGTAGTTTATTATGAAGATATTATCTCAATATATGGAATGAAATTCACATATAGTATTAGTAAGGCCAAACCATCTCATTGTATTGTGTTTTGAGGAGAAATAAATGGCAGAATTTATCGAAAAAACTTGGTCGTCAAACCTCTGCAAATAGCCAAGATATCCGGGCAAAACCAATCTGATCCTGGTGTACTGAGATGTTGGACGCGTTACCTTTATGTACTCAATAGTTTTTTGTTATGCCCCTGAAAAATAGCCTCGTATTTTCAGGCCTGTGCGTTGATATTGTTTTAAATATTATATGGAAACTGAAACACTGAATATTAATGTCACAATATGGGTCGGTTCATATCGAGTACAAATATGATAGCAGACGGTGTTTCTGTTGGAAATATGGTACGATTTTAGGTACGGTAGCATATATAGAAAATCATTACCATTGAACTTATTGTAGATTAGACACTAATATTTCTGTAGCCAGCTGCTACACAATTTCACTCGCAGTTATACGACATCTGCGAGTAAAAACACGACTGTAACAATTACAAAAATTAAAGAGAAAATGTATATCCGAAAACAATATGCCTACTAACTAATCATTAGTTAGATATATGGCCTAGGCCTATTCATGTTGCTCGAGTGCTCAGCTATTAACCCGTGTATTAACAGAGACTAAGGTCATGCCACTTTTTGTTTAGTTTTAACTGCACATTGAGCGACTATTAATAATTATGAATGTAGTCGCTATTGTTTTGTTTTGCATTTGCTTTGCTGCTGCTGGCTCATTCTAGATATGGACATAATTAATTTTACCCAATTTACCAGAACTTACCAGATAAATAATGAATGCTAAACATTAAGTGTTAAAATGCACAATGCGTTTACACAATTAACCCGTTCACGGCATTCACGGTAATAAACGCGTTCACGGCAACTTGCAAGTTCAAATGAAACTGAAACACACACAGAAATATCTTTCACGTAACCGTTTTAGAGAACAGTACGTATCAAGCATATACAGAATATTAAAGTTACTGTATGTTAACCCTATTTTAACCTAATGGTGACAAAATTCAAAACGAACAACTGCCCTAGAATATAAATAGGCCTAATATGAAGTAAATTAAATCTTCATACATTTATGTCGACGTTTGCTTCGATTAAAAGACATCGATCTCTGAGTTGAAGAAACCATATAAGTAATCATGCTACGTTTAATCATGGTTTGATACCATTACGATCAGAATTAAGTCACGTGGTTTCGATCGGTAAGCATAAATTAAGTCATTCGAGATCTGGTTCCAACAGGATTTTAGCTGTCTACCGAATTCTTTATGCCTTAATTGCGCATCGTCATCCCTGTGAAAGGTGGCAACGCTAAACCAGGCTAAACCAAGGACTTTACTAAACCCTGGGTTAATTCATGATCACTGCCGTTCTAAGCATGGAGAGAAGAAAATATAAACCTCGTTTTTAATTGTCATCATTATTAATATTATAATTAGGATTACAGATGTTGACAATAATTATGTAGACTACTAATGCGGTACAATCTGTCTCTATGAGCTAAACATAGCCTGATTCATTCCATCATATTTTGAAATTATGGAGAATAAAAATATAATGTATAACTGTCCGCATAAATTTAGATCCTAAAAACCACAGACACGACCTGTGTATAAACCAACCAGGGAACTAAAAAGATCAATAACGATGTGTATGTATTCATTCATTCACGGCTACGATAGTCGGAATTACGAGGAACTAAAAACACTGAATGAGTACTATAGATAGAATTGTGTAATAAAACACAATACAGAACAGCTCTCGTTTAAAGTACAAATTAGGCCTAACAAGTGTTGTTAATTGATGGTTGAGATCTTCGCTTCCCGTTCTATTCCAGAGTTCGTGGGTTCAATCAATGGATGGTCACAAAAGAACAATAACAATATTTTGGTGTACAATAAATGTTTGCCGTTCACTCACAGATTTTTTTTTCTCACGACCAAAAACAATACCAGTTCGAACTTAGTTCAACGTTCTATCCGTTAATTAACGAGTGTGTTACTATGGGATATATAAAAATAAATAAATATACTGAATTTGGCACGTGTTCTGTTTTTCTTGAGAACTAATTGACTTGTTTTGCATTACCTTTATGTTTACTTTGTTCACCTTCTAGCATTGTGTGAAGAACACTCGTGAATTAACATTCGGTTCAATTATCAATAATTTGCATACAATACCGAGGCCAACTAGTCGTGCAGTACGTGAAAGTATTAAGAACGAAACCACTATTAAATGATGTTAATGTTAATGTTATTAGATCACCTTCACGAAGTCTCGAGTGTGATCATGTTCCTACTATAGTTATCACCAGGAAGGTGATTTTAATTTACCTCCTGGTTTAGAGGTATCCTAAATATTTGCAGCAGTTCACAATAAGGCCACTGTTTAATCTTTATGCATGATTCGTTTTTTTTTTTTACATTTTGCTGAAACTGAATTGAGTCGTAAGATTTTATCACAAAATAAGTTTTTGTAGACTGATTAGTAACACGAACTTTTAGCAGGACCTCCAGTGGTTTTGCAGACGTTATGAGACCCAAGGTATTATTTGTTACCACGTTAATGTTTCATATTTTGGAACTAATAAATGTGACTACTGTACAGATAAACAGGACTGCAGATAGTTTTTGAATAAATGACAGGCTCCACTAATTATGTTTTTAGAATAAAATTTATGATTTTTAGAATAAAAGCGGCCGACGTAAATAATACAGTTAACTTAAAATTGAATTACAAATGCTTCTGTGACTGTTCTTTATCTGTTTTGTTGCATTATCTAACAGCAAGAACCGTCTGGAAAGGTGCTATGGCAATTGTGCTAGGACGAGCGAAAGGAATCCAAGGGGCCAAGTTCGTGATCAGGTGCCCAGTCAAAGGACCAGGGGGAGAAATCTGTGGCATTCCCATGCGAGGCAAGCATCCCATCATTCCCTTACCATGTCCCTTTACCGAAATAGGCCTTTCAAAATATAATTATTTCTGTATCCTACTTTGCACTTTGCGAATTCATTCGTACACAACATCATTTTGAATTGACTCCTCTAGGCTCTATTAATCCTCAATATACGTTAATTGTTCAATGCAACAGATGAATATTTCAATTGTTTTACCGAAGGTGCAAATCATAACTATTACCATGTCAATCATCACATTACAGGACTTAAACCACCGAAACCACCTCATTATATCTTGTGAGAAAACAACCTACTTGTCACTTATAACAATAAGCAATCAAAAGTAAGGTTGCTTTACAAAGAAAGAAAGGAGGTACTCTATCCTTCCTTCTTCCATATTGTGTAATAACGAAGTTATGTTGCATAGGTGGTGCATCTGCTTGCGCAACACACATTTTTCACCTTTATTCTTTAACAAAAGTTTGGGAAACGAAAGTTCGTTGCGAATGGCCACTAACTCTCTAATACCATGTTTTCCTTTTAACGTAATAGGCCTATACTCCACTGTCCAAAGAACGAATGCATTCAGGAAGTAATTATTGTAACTAAATCCTCTATATTGATTTGATTGTGTATCGCTTATTTAATCTTTCAATAGGCTTTTGAGTTCAGAACACGTGATAGGGAACCATATTCAAAATAGTTCGAACATGGATATATTGAAATGTCTTCCGAAATCAACTCTTATTTGTCACGACAGCTGGTTTGTAAAATTTCCTGGTATGGAATTCAGCAACGCATTAGACTGTTTTAAAAATATTGACTCATTGTATGGAATAATTTTGGTTTTCCGGTTAATTTCCAGATTTCGAAACGATGATAAAACACAAGAAAAAAAAATCATAAAACTCATGAATATTAGGCTTATATTTCTTAAGTTTGTAAACTATTACTATAATTTACACCAGATCAAGGTAGTTGCCACAGTGGTTGTGTAATGGACTCTTGGGGTTTGTGGGTTCGAAGTCCCGCTGTGCAAATCAATTAATTTGAGATCTTCTGTGGTGGTATGGTAAAGCAGACGACAAGAAGGAGCGTCAATCTCCCAGAAAAAAGAAAAAAAAAAGAATAAAAAAGGAAAACTAGGACTAGAGGCATGGACTAATCATTGCACATGGTTTCACCATGATTGTGAAATTAAGATCCGCTCTATTCAACATAATAGTCACGAGGTGTTTTGTAATTCGGAGATCTGTACAGTACTGTGGTAGGAACAGGCCAGAAAAAACGCGCCATGTAGTTTGCGGTTATTTATTTTGGGTGTTCTGCGGTCTGTATCTAGTTTAATATCTCTGATTCCGATTGAATTTATTCAATTTCGGATGCTCTTCTTACTATACTCTTGATTAGAAAGTTTCAGGAAATGGGTTTCAAAGAAGGACTTGCATATGGATGGGGGGGGGGGGGAAACGAAATATTATGTCTATGGCACTCTAAAGACTTAAATATGAATACAATGCAATTATCGTTTCCCTCACTTAAGAAAAATTGTCAAAAATTTAGTCGACCCGGGCCGGCTTCAATTTTCCACTTTAATTCTCCCCTGGTACTTCTTGCACAGGGATTTAATTCTAGCGAGTTGAAAAGCAACAATTTTATCAACTAATTACCAGAAAAATTTAGCAACAGCTGAATAATTAAGCACAACTATTAAACAAAAGTACCGTTGTTGAAATAATAAGTTGACACACGAATAGATGCAAACGATGGGTGATTGTTTATATTAAAAACAATACGGAAAATTATTGCTCTTCGTGCTAGAAGGACTGTACTGTAGCGTGAACCCTCATTGGTAAAACACAATAAATGCAATTAAACGTCACGTTAGGCTCATAATTGAGCAGAATGAGCCATATTGGTTGAGTGGTAATCACAGACGGGAGAGCCCTGGGTGTTTATATTTTAAGCATTATTATATGAAAGGATGAATAAAAGGTCACAATTTCATAATGAAAGGATATTAAGTACGGCTATTTTACTACAGTATACTACGCTTAAGAGCACTTGATACGTTGGATTTGAGCACATGTGATGAAAATTTTCATTAATCCCTTTCGATTACCAGACCAAGGCCATACAACTATAGATAGCTGAGCCAAAACAATATACAATCATATATGCAAATATGAAAAATAATGTTACACAGGTGGAAACAATCATAATTGATGTTTTGTTCTGGTGAGAGCCATAACAAGACTGATAGCGTGTAAATCAGCTTAATTTAGTGTGCTTAATAATGAAATCGTAATGTCG